CAATTATGAAAGTTTACATGTTTAGAACAAAGGATTACCATAAATAATAAATGCTCGCAAAAATGTGCAAGCCCTTGTAAATTATTCTATAAAGCGGAATAACTCAGAGAATTAATTATTACAATCCTTCAACTTCATTCTAGATTAAAATACATATTCTCACTGGATCTGACAAATGTCCAACGTGGATATCCAAGGCGGCACAAGACTTATCGGTTTCCGAATCATGAACAAGCAGCGCTTCCAGTTCATTAGCCAGTCGAATCAATCGATAACTTCTTTTGTCATTTTCTGATTTTTCCAAGGGTGTCAATAACACGGCATGCGAGCCACTCGGAGAAATCGCAAAGTTTGGAGGAAGATTGGCAAAAGGCAAAGACATTGAGTAATTTCTAGATTCATATAAGGAAATAGTCCTACGTAATGGTCGGTAATTTCTTAGTGACAACCAATTTTTCGCCGCGGGAAACTTAACCCTCCAGATCATAACATTTAATGATCGGCTATAAGCATGGCAGAAGTTCCATTTATGCACATATGTTACACATTATTTTATATAGAAAAAAAGTTTGTCCTATGAAAACACATTAAGGGTTGTTATAAAATTTCGCCAGTGATGTCAGCATGACTTTTACAATATGTTAAGTTTTATAATAAACATTAATATATGTACGTATATAACTTTAATTTATAGTTATTGTATGTAATAAAAAAGCTTAATGCAATAATTAATTAGAACATTTTATATTACGCATTTAATTTAAATTACGAATTAAAACATTTATTATCAATGCTCTACTTGTTCAATTTGTGTTGCTAATCTAGACAAAATATCTAATGGTTCTTCTATCTCGGATTTTTCACCCATATTTTCATCTATATTATCTTCACTATTGTCAAGATCTTCTCACGTAAGTTTATTTTCTTCTTTTTCTATATGTTTCAGAAATGAATTGGTATTTTTATAAATTTTTTTCTTATAGAATTCTTTTAAAAAAAATTTTTTTTTTAAGTTTAATTTAATTATTTTTATATACTAATATGTTATTATCAATTTATTTAAAGATAAAAAACTTGAGTAAATATATTAAAACTTTATTAGTTTATATTAAAAAAATTTTATTTTTATTTTAGAAATAAGAAAAGATAAAATAGAAAAACTAGATCGAATTTTTTTTTTTTTAATAAATAAAACTTTGAATTATTTTTTAGTTTATCAGAAATAATCTCTTATTATTACTTGTAACTTTTAAAAATATTTAAGATATATTTGTAATTATATTTATTATTTGAATAATCTTATATTTTTTATTGCTACTTAAGTTTAATGACTTGCATATTTTTTTAAAATAAATAGTTTCAAGAAGACTTGTTATTGAATTAGAAAGAAATTTCAATAAGTCTTTATAGAAAAAATACTGGATATTATAAAAAATAATTATTAAATTTTTCAAGTTAAAAATAACCATTTTAATATTTTTTTTAATATTATAATTCTAATGTTTATTAAATTAATATATAAAATAATTTTATATAAAAAATAATATTTGACAAATTATAATAACAAAAATTATATTAAAACAGTTTTATTATCTTTAATTAAAATTAAAATTTGATATTTTATAATAATAACATAATAATATTGATTATTATACTATAGATTTATAAACCTATTTTTATAAATCTTATATAAATAAAAATAAGAATTATTTATTTAATATATTTTGATATTTTGATATTTTATTATTTAAATAATTTGTATAAATAATAATATTAATATTATTTGTATTAATTATTAAGTAATATATTGAATATATAAATTTGTTTTGATTATTATTATTAAATAAAATATTATTTATATCAATTGTTAAATAATACAATATATTAATAAATTAAATTTGTATTAATTATTATTTTCAAATATAATATTGTTTAAATTAATTATTAAATAATACATATATTGAATATCTAAATTTATTTTGATATTTTATAGAGTTTAATTAGTTAAATTTGAAATATAAATTAGTTAACAGAAACAAATTATTTATAATCTTTAATTAATATATTTTTTTTAGTTTTATATTACCATAAGAAATAAAAATTATTAAACCATATAAATAAAAATTTTATTAAAGTTATTTAAATATATATATATATTATTATTTAAAAAATTTAATATATTAATAAAAGTAGAGACAAAAAGAATTTATATAGTTTGCATATGTATATATTATTATTAGATTTTTAATATAACAATAATTGAAGGTTGTTTTAGGTGGATATCAAATATTTTTTTTGTATATTATTTTTATGATTATAAACGAATTTGAAAATTTTTGAATAATCAATATCATATAGTAATGGCCTAATGAATTGTGATAAAATAAATAAGTGATAAATAACCAGATTATGTAAACAACACAATAATTTTAATATTAATAAATATTTTTTTAAAAAAAAAAATCACGTATAAATTTATAACCTTTTTAATGAATGCATTGTAATTAGTAAAATATTTATTCAAATAT